GAAAGAGGGGGAAAGAAAGAGAGGGGAACAAATGGCCAAAGGCATTGTTAGCTAGGAATTATTCCTACAGGCAGGGAAGTGAGTGTCAGAGCTACAAAAGAAGAGTGGCAGCATTAAAAAAGAGAGAGAGAGAGAGAGAGAGAGACAGAAAGCAAAAACAAACCCCAAATCAATTTCTACAAGCTTCTAGTTGACTCTGGGCTCCAGCTCCTCAGCCTGTGCAGGCGGGGAAGCCGGGTCCTGTGTCTAAGGGAATGTTGTCATCCGCACGGGCTCCCAAGTCCTTTGTCTGCCTGCAGTCAGTCAGCAGCTCACCCTGCTGGGCTGCTGTTTGCAAACGAAGTCTGTCATGAAGTCAAACTCGTTCTGTCCCAACCACAGCTCGGGCAGCTCCTTGATGCGGTCCAAGCCCATTTCTATGACCAGGGACATGAGCACCTCCTCGTCGATGAAGTCGGTGTCTATGACATTGGGAGGCAGCATGGCCGCGGGGCCGTGGGGCACGGGGGCGGACAAGGCGCCGCCGCCGCCGCCGCCGTGCTTGGGGTTGCAGTCTCTGAAATGCTGGCCCGGGCCGGCGAGCTGGTGGGCCGCGGGGTGCAAGTCCGGCATGTAGTGGCCGTGCGGGTAGGGGTGGTGGCTGAAGTACTGGTTGTTGAGCTTCTGCAGCTGCATGCTGGCCGTCAGCTGCCCCGCGGGGCTGGCCACGGGCGGCGCCAGGAACTGCGAGTGCTGCTGCTGCTGTTGCTGCTGCTGGTGGTGGTGGTGCGGGCTAGCAAACTGCCCCATTCCCATCCGGTGGGCAGGGTGGTGGTGCAGCCCGCTGGGCCCGTCGGGGAAGCGCCCGTGATTCATGGCCATCATGTGCTCTGCCATTGCCCACCTAGAAAGTTAGCAAGGGGGGAGAAGGGGGTGGGGGGCTGCATCAGCCAGAGGTGTGCGCCCCGCCTGGCGGGCAGCCCGCCTCCCCTCCGCCGGGGTGGGGGGCGAGCTCGCCCAAAAGCCCCTTTAAAAGCTTGCAATTAAAGACAATTTTTGGGGGGTGCAAAAATCTTGTTGGTCTCATACAAGAGATCCTCTCTACTACGAGTCCCGATCGCCTTTAAAAGGAGCAACTCTGCAGTGCAACATCCCGCCCCGCTTTGCACGTCCAGCCAAGCCTCCCCACCCCAACTCCTGCAGCCCTGCTCGCCACGCTGCTGCCCTGCAAATAAGTCCCACCTAGCCGCTGTCAGCAACTTGGGGAATTAAGTCCTCCAGGTCCTCCTCTTTATGTAACGCAGATGTAAGGGGATTAGAAGTCCCCGATGCTGAGACGTCCCCTCGCTGCTCCGCTCAGCCACCTCCCCAGCCGTGCAGGGAGCGCAAGGCGTTGGGGAACAGCACCCCCCGCCCCCCGGCTGCACACTTGCCTCGTCTCCCCTTCTCCTCTCTCGTCCTCGGGCTCTGCGATCGCTCAGCGGGAGCCGCCCCGCATAGAGAGGGCTCCCCCGGCCCCTCCGACCCTCCTCACTCCTCCGCCAGGCTCATCAGCCCTCGCCAACAATGAGCTGTGCTTCTTCCCCGGCTTTGGCCACAGTTAATATAGGATTTCAGAAGGGAGGAGCAAAAGCAGCCCTCGCAGGCAACCAGAAGTAAAACCTGGAGCCAGCCAGGGAAAGGGGAGGGAAAAAAAAAAAGGGAGAGAGAGAGAAAAAGAAAAAGCCAGGCGGATCTGGAAAGCATCCAAGGAATCCTGTTCCTTCTGGTTGAGCGACACGTGTGTTTGCTGATCACTTGTGCAGCGTCTTCGG